TACAGTTTATATTAAAAAAAGTGTAAACGGTCTGTGTTTTTGTATGCTTCGACTTGTTTATATGTAAACACATACACACCCTAAAATATAACCAACACTCAACCTTTAAACACTATATATGTAAACATTTCAATATCAATCCTTTTCTCATTTTTCCTAATCAAATATTGATTGATTCTGCACCAACTGTTCCCATCTTCAAATTTTGGCCACCATAAATAGAAGAATTTCTGTAAAAATCTTTTAACATTAATTTTTATCAATTTGATATTTCTTTATCTTATTAATGCTTTTAAATAATTCTGTAATATCAAAATTCCTGTTCCGTTGGTGTGCAGACTGATGTTTTATATCACTGAAGGTTTTAAAGTACATGACTTTACCAAATGTGTCCGTGTTAAATAATTTTGAGTCAACAGCCAAAGCTATTCTATTAATTTCATTTGCTGGAATGGTAACAGCAGGACAATCTAGACCCTCAGTTCACATCCATTACAAATGCTATTGTGTTGGTAAAGAAAAGAAAAAGCAAAAGAAAACAAATAATGAGTGTCAATTTCCAGTAGGAATAAGTCTGCAACAGATTCGTCTCTCAACCGCAACACTTGTAGCCAAAATCCAGTTCAACGACTGTCCGACGTAACAATCCAACAGGCCACGTAGAGACGGCAAAATTGGGTCACACACCCAGCCTTCACTTCTCACCAACAAAAACGCCCGTCTCTCCCAAAAGACGGCTCGCTTTATACAGCCGAGGACCGACCATAATTTACATGCGAATCACTAGCCGCGTTAGTCGTCCGAGACCACCTGTCATAAAACATGGGCGTCACCATTTTGATTCTTTTTACCGCTGAGCAACCGGACTTTACATGACGCACAGATTCGTTGATGTTTCCAAGGTAGACCATTCTTTCCTTTCCTCGTTCGTCCAGTATTTCATTTTGCCAGGGACTAAGGCTACATTTGCGTAAGCGTCCACTACTCTGCTTACATATTACGCATGCCACTCGTTGCCTCTTAGAACGGCGAACTGTAGTCAGTTCAGCAGAACCCACAGGCTGCTGCCTTTCAGTTCTGCTACAGCTATTTCAATAAACAGTTGGCAAATTTAATGTTAATTCTGGAATCTTTCAATTCCTTTAATAAAAGGATTCAGACATAGTATACAATGGATGATTGGATAATAAATGATCAGACATGGTATGCTACTAGGTATGCTGGCCATGCACCATTAGCCATGGTATGCCAGCAGGTACAAGAACCAGGCACCATTAGCCATGGTATGCCAGCAGGTATGAGGGCAATGCATCATCAAATATAAACATTTCTTTTTTTGTTAAATGATTGTGATGAAGTTTACCAAAAATGAAGATACCATCAACAAGTTGGTGGTTTCATCACTTAGGCTTACACTGTTCTTGCTGAAGAATTTTCAAAATAGTGAAGTGACTCAGCTGATTCTATGAACGTTTTAAGTGACTGAGAAAAATTTTCCAATTTTATTCTTAGTTTCAGAAGAAAAAAGTGTGATATTTTTCTAAATAATGATTGTTTTCTGTTACTTCTAATATGAACCACTTTTGGTAAATGATGGTCCATTTAAGTTTTCAAACATTTATCATCATTAAATAACGATTTTCTGCCTTTCTGTTTTTGCATAAGTTTACTCTGTATAAAAAGTCTTAAACGACATCAGATTCCAGTCAGATATCAGCTGTTACTGCCCAGCAAGATATCTGCATTTACAAAAAGTCACATTATTGGAAAGACAAACAATAAAAATAATTTCAGTTTGAAATTCAGGGATGAGGAGTTATTATCTACATGCAGACTATATGTCCTCATCTTTGTTGTTATCAAAACATTTTGGTTGTTGTGAACTCTGGCCTTCATCAGGTATATATTGACCAGGGTAACCTACAGGGAATTTCAAACAGAACCCTGTATTTAATTTATGGAGGTTGAGTGTTCTTGTTCCACTGCTTATGTCTATAAATGTTGTAGTTTTGTGCAAGACTAAACTATGTGTAGTACATAAATAAAAAGAAGTCTTTTAGGTTTTATCTTAATATCGAATTATCTGAGGAACTCTGACAAAGTGGACACTAGAAAAAGAAAGTATAAAATGTTAAATAATTAATTACTTAATCAATGAAATGACTAACATATTCACATGAATTATGAAATATTTTTTAACTTTGAAGTCTTTGAAATAGATTATATAGCTAAAGTTAAATTGTTTTAAAACTGACGGTTGTAAATAATTTGTACGAAAGGAAAAAAAAATGAAAGTATACAATCAGAATTTTATTAAACACTTTGATAAAAATTAAGTACAAAAACGTTTCTCTCGTATGAATTTGTGCTTGAGTTTATAATTAAAGGTCATAGAAAAGAAATTAAAAACTTTCATGAACTTTTTTTGTTTGCACACACAAGAATTTAAGTATGAATTACATTCATATTTGAATGTTTGCTGAGAGTATATTGAGAAATGTTTAAAATATTGTAATACATAAAGTATACATGCACTCATACACTGCTCAGAACCGACACATAACAGTAACACTTGGGGCTCTGCCAAACCCTATATGTTTGGGAGTTTCGGACTGGTTGTGGGAAGGTCCCATTACAGCTTGTCTCCTCGCTGCTTCAGTTGGGAGATGTAGAGTTCTTGAGCACATTTCACCTCTAAGAAGTGAACAGACAACATGCATACATGTCCTTCCCTTCTGATATCACATGCCAGACTAATAAAAGAAAAACTTTTATTCTTTCTATACTTAAGAGAATATTCTCTAAAGGTAAGAGCTTTGTGTAATGTTTCTTCAATACAATAAATGTTATGTTTGAACTATTCTTATTCGTTTTCTATAATGTCTACTAACTAAATGTTATAATATTAACAAAATTCATGGCATGCTTTTCTTTTTCTTTTAATGAATGCATATAGAGGATGCACATGTTATATAGTGATTATCAGCCCAAAGCAGAATCAACAATCTGAGTTCGTTCAAACTCTGGTCAAGGTTGTTGCATTTATTTTAACAAAAATACCCTCGGGAAAGATATGAATCCATTCCCTCAGCTGTGTGTTAAATAGCAGGGCAGATTAAATTTTTTTTTTTTTTGCTTTTGTTGGTAGCCAGTCTAGGAGAAGGACAACTCTGAATTCAAAACTGTTTGGGTGTGATGCTAGTAACTTCATCCTCTATAATGTACTTGATATTGAAACCACAGCAAAACCAATTAATGTGGCTTGGCTGTTGCCTGATGATGTTACGTTTATAAAAGTAAAGTGATATAAACAGGTTTGTCAATCTGTACCTTTCAAATTGTGGGTCGCTGTTTTGCACCCAGAATACTGAAATTTGAAATATCTTTTCAAATTTAAGCTCATAGGGTATATATATATATATATATATATATTTTATGTGTATGTAATTGGATTAGTTTTGTTCAGTGTTTTTTCACTTATTTTATTAAAAAAATATAAAGACTTTAAAAATTTGACTTAAATTTATTATTTAAATTATGACCAATTCTTTTCAGGAATAAATAATTGTGTATATTGTGACTCAATTTGGCTAATCCTGTAGAACAATGAAGTGTAGGTCCTAAGAATATAGTTAATGGTACAAGAGTATATTAGGCTATATTTTATTGTACTATATAATTTACCATACCATACTTTTAGATTTTAACAGATACGGAAATCCACAGTTAATAATGTTGAGCATGTGTACATTTCTCTCTGTAATCATCTTTATTTTCATTTGAGATTTTTGAAGATTTAAAATATCCTTTTAAAACTTTCGTTTTTATATACTGTTTAAAACATTTTAATGTCTGTGTTTTTGTGAATTTTTTGATCTATAACTTCTTTAAAGAGGAAAAATTTCACTGTTTCAATAAAATATGCTAAAGGCATCTTGCTGTAATTGACACTGAAAATAAAAATAATCTTGATTAAAAAGAAATTACATGTTGTAATTACATAAATTAATACTTTGATTTATTATAATCTGGGGAGGAAATTTTCCCAGAAAAGTAAAAGAAAAAAACAGAATGGAATTTCATTTTAGATAAAATGTTTATTTATGGCAATAGTTTTGTGAACTTTTCATAAATGAGAATTGGAATTACGTTCTTAATTCTTTTGAAAACCCAATTTTGATTGGACCAACATAAGATTGTCAGCATCTTTTTAAAGTAACTGATACAAAATATAGTTGTTTGTTGTATTTGTAAATTCAAGCAAAATTGTTTGTCCAGGCTAAAACAGATGACCACTCACAGCATGTAGCACCATTGGGAAGAACCTGAAAATGCACACCACAGGTCAATCCAAGCCTAGTAAGTAAAACTGTATAGATGGAACTGTTTGGAAGCTGTCAATGATTGTGCTAACACAGTAGTCATCATGACTGAATGTTTTTGGACAGACTGGTCTTGTTCATCTATTGTTCATGCCATGTTATGCACTCTCTCCCAGAAACTCTAACTAATGTCCATTGGGGGTCAGTATGGGTTTTTCAAGAAATATAAATATGCCTGCAACAGGGATTAAATAGACATGCTAACAGACAGGAATACTTAGAAACACAACTCCATAACCTGATATGTGAATTTTGAATTGAAATTTTTCACTGTATAATTATTAATCTATGTAATTAATATTTACTACTGGATTAAATGCATTGACAAAGAAGATTATTGTATATTGATTGATTTACTCATTTTCTACAGCTTATCAACCCTTTGTGGGTTATTTTAAGCCAGAAAATATTTTAAGAGTATTATTCTTTTGGAGATGATAATGTTTTAGTGATAAAAGGCTTACTAATTAACCCATAGGTGGGAGAAGATGTAGATTCATATCTTTCCCAAGGATATTTGCATATAAATGAATATAACAAACACAATGGGAATTTGAATTTGGCTTTCCAATTAACACTTCTGAGCCATTATCCCTTACACCACCTGTAACATCCAAGCTTACAGCACCTGGTATTCCCAGGTGGTCACCCATTTAGATCTTGACCAGACTCGAGGTTTCTTAACTTCGGTGATTGTATGGGTACCAGTGTTTCAACTTGATGCGGCTGTAAGCCTGATTATTGTATAAAATCTTTTATTATTAGGCTATGGAATTATTGATGTACCCCTGTATATATCTTCATAGTAAAGAATAAATTCGTCCTCAAAATTTACAATTTGATTCTATTAAATCCTCTCTTTTGAAACAAGACACAATTTTTTTTTTTTTAGTGAAACAAAGTAAAACTAAAACCTTTTGATAGTTTTGACAGATTAGTATAAAAATGATACAAAATGGTATTTCCATTAAAACATCTTTCTCACTTGAGGCCCTAATCATAAAGAAGTTTTCTGTAATTATGGAGGAGGAACTACTTGCATCTCTCTCCACCTTTTAATCCTCAGGTCACCATACAAAAGAACGATCAGACAACATCTTTGTGCTGATCTCCCAAAGGGCCGTGGCAAGTTTCCCATTTTGGGCTGCAGACGATGGTTCACAACGGCAACAATTGTTGAAGTACATACCCCCAATACCTTGAAGTTCTGGAACAGCTGCACAATACAGGGATGTAGCTGCACCTTGTTGCTGAAATGACATAAAGAAAATATGACAAAACGACAGAAAAAAATAAAAATTGTTATCTGAAGCATGCAGTTGGGTCAAAGTTTAGTGAAACTGATTCAACAGTTGGCAACAAATTGTCATACATTTGGCTTTTTCTTGTGCAAATTCTTTATCTTTTGATGATAAAGATTCTTGTACTAGTTAGAACTGCCAAGAAACATTCTAATTATACCAAAGCCTGTTACAAAACTTTTAAAAATTAAAACTCATAAATGATAGTATGTAAGCATGCATAAGTGATCAGTGGTTTTATACCAACTTTAAAAAAAATTGAGATCCCTTCTGAATGTAGAAAATGATGACTTGCCATAGCATTTATTTCTCTTTAATATGTGCAAACTGGCATGAGTTCTTGGGGGAACATGGTTTCCTGTTACCTCCTTCAGATGTGAATTCAGAATTGTCTTTCTCTCAGACTGGTTGATTTGTCAAGGCTAATAAGCATAGTCTACTATACTATTTACTGATAACTAAAAGAGGTGGATTCATGCCTTACTAAATAACAGAAACCACATCACTCAAGGACTTTCAACAGCAGCAACAACTAAAATCGATATCACATATAACTCTAAGAGAAAATAATGACATAAGAGACTGACATTACACACGACTTAAAAAAAAAAAGGTTTGTTTTTTGGGGAGCGGGGGGTTTCCAGATAAGTTTGTCATAAATTAATGTCTTTTAAGGTAAAATAGTTATTGTTGTCTGTGATGGTCCTAACTGCCTATCACAGGTGACGTTAATACATGTAGATATATATATTTGTTAATCTTCATACAGATTAAAAAAAAACAAAAAAAAAACACACATGTTCCTATAGATATTTTTTGATAAAAAAAATCTTTCACCAATGTGTATATGCTTGTAACACCTTTTGAATGCAGATATCAATTTACAGTGATAGCTCGGAGGATGGGGCTCTGTTATTAAATACAGAGATTTGAGTTCCTCCTACTCTATATGCCATAGTGTAATGCATTCTTAAACTAAGAGAAGAACTATTTAGGAATGACTGCGAAAACATCCCTCACCCCAAATTTATAAACAAAATATACAGATGCATGCTGGGATTTCTTGCTAGCCTAGCCTATAAAATAGGCCACTTCTTAGTCTCATCTGATATAGTTCGTTTTGTCATGAAGTCAGAAGATTGTCTGTATCCTTTTTGTGTTAACATCATTTGTAGTTTGTGAACTAGTTGCCTTATTACTATTGTTTTGCCTTGCATATATTGTTTTGCTCAATCTTATTTTTGTTCTGTTATTTTCCTTTCCTTTCTTTTTTTATTGTTTATTGAAAACTTTGCCAGTTGTTTCATTTGGTACTTCTGCCATTTACACTAACAATTACTCTACAAACAGCAAATCTAGTACTTCAAAAATTCATCAAGTTCCTGTTGTATAACTAGCAAGGTTTTTGATATGAAATATTCTATCCCCTTAACAATTCATTGAGGGTTAAGTAAATTTATTCAGACACTTAGCTTTTGAATTCTTTTCTGTTTCAGAGTTTAAATAAAAACTCTTGAGACTGTTCAAGAGATGCATTTGAACAAATCTATTCTGTTAACTATGTTTCAATCTTGTGCAAATTATTAGTAGTTTTAATAAAAGGTTATTTAATCAAACTTGTCACATGCAGAAAGTAATGTACATATTAAAATACAGTATAAAATTTTTTTAGTAAAAATATGTACAAGGAAATTACCAGAAAAATTTAGCACATTTTGATACAGATAGGCTTGGTTAACACAGTTAATTAGTTTTGTAGATAAGATCAACAGAAGTGAAACTTGATAAATTCTCATGTTACATATTTAGACTCCTTGAAAAAATAGTACAAATGAAATTTGAAAATGTGCCATGAAAGTGTATATAGTAACACACATAAATGCATGTACACACACACACATATATATATATTTAGTAAGTATTAAAAACAAATACTTTGGTGAAACCAACAAACAACTTACCAAATGACCCAACACCTTAATGAAGAGCATCTCAAACAAGGTAAGAAAAAGACTTATCTACTAAATAAAGAAAAGTGCTCAACACCTAGATTACCTAGACAAAATAAAAAATGCTGTACAATGTTAACTTCTATCCAAGGACAACCTATGTCATTATGTGAGTTTTGTACTGATGCAATCTTCAAACAACTAGCACACACACACACACACATATGTGTGTGTGTGTGCTAGTTGTTTGAAGATTGCATCAGTACAAAACTCACATAATGACATAGGTTGTCCTTAGAGCCTAAATTATAATTTTTTTTTTTTTTTTAAAATATGATTCCATCATGACACAGAAATTACTATGTTTCAAAACTGGTCAGCAGTATTTAAGTTTAATTCCAATATTAAACCTTAACCAAGGGGGCAATTTCATCCTCAAGCCTTGTTTAGGAAACAAACAATGATTCCAAATCAAGGCTTGAGAATGAAACTACCACCCAGTGGGTTTTTTATTTATTAATCCAAGATATTTTATCACTTTAAACATTATTTTTAGTGGATACTCATATTTGAGTAGACGCTTTGTTTATTTATTAAACAGTATATTTATTTATTTTCATCTACTAACCTGAATATTTGAGTAATCTTATTAAAGATTAATAAATAAAAAATCCATTACTACTTTAGAAATTGCTTTGTTTACATTTGTATACAAAACTGAGCAGATATGAAAATTTCAAGTGTCTATGATAAGGATTTCACTTAAAGGCATTATTCAACCGTGCTTGATTGGCAAAGCATCTTCATGGCTGAGCCAGTTAAAAGCACATTGTATCTAACGATGATTTCCAATGCTCAAGGGGAATGCAGGTTCATGTCCTGTCAAAGAACGCATATTTTCTTTAACAAGATTTCTCAAATATTGAGGTGGGTAGAAAATTTAAAAATAATATTTAAAGTGATAAAATATATATATATATATATATATATATATATATATAAAAGTTTCTTGTTTCAGAGTACACTCATCTTCTAGGACCCCTGTTGAAGATGTCCACTCAGGTAAAAGAGCTAACTTGTGGTTTATATTGCTATTATGCTGAGAAAATCAGAGATACAATTTTTAGGAGGGAGCATATTCCTTGTGGTAAGCAGTTGAATGAAGCTAGTATGCTGTTCTGTTTTGAGAGACCTGTTATTCCTATATATTTTTTATCTGGGTTTCCTTTGAAGCTTACTGTAATTATATATTATGTTATTTTGTAAGCAGTTACCATTTAGTGTGCATTTGTACTTTCTGTTGTGACAGGTGGAGGCTGTGGGTGTTTGTCTGGGGATTTTTCGGTTTTGTTTTTTATGATTCATGGTATGTTTACAGTTGAATATTTTGTGCTGTTTGCTTGCTTTTGGGAAATTTATTGGAGTCATAATTTTTTTTCTATATTTGTTCTTACATTTTCATTATATGGTGGATTGAATAATAAGATGTTCCTACTTTTGTGGCATTTTTTGTTCTGTTTGATGTAAATGTCAGATTTGCCAAAAACCCACTGTTATTTCATACACTTTTTTTCTTTTTTTACTTCATTGAAAAAATTTTCATTTAACAAGTTGTCAGATCATCTGCAGTCCAGTTGTTATCCTCATCTTCAATGTTCAGCCTCTATATCTCTGTGATGAGGTATTATGATTACTTTCATTATTTGTTTATTAAAAGTGGGATTTGTTTGATTATACTGGTTAACAGTTGGAAGAAGTGTGTAGATAAAATAGATTGTTTTTCTGAATGGTTAATATATATATATATATATATATATATCTTTGTGCTTGTTTAAAGTTTCATCCAAGAAAATTACTTCTTTTTGGTTTGTTTTAATGTCGATTTTTGAATCCTATTTGAAAATCTTGAATTTCATTTCTAATTTCATCTGTTACAATTTCCTTTGATTATGGGCCCATTATTTCTGTACAATATTATGTATGTTTTTGTTAATAATCCTAGCTACTGTGTGTAGGATATATATATATACCAACCACTTTAGATTTCTATTCTGTTATACAATCTCATGGTTACATCAAATGTTTTTTTTTCTGTTCTTTTCTTTGACCATGCTGTTTCTTTGTCAAATAAAAATGATCTTAAGCAATGTTTTATAATTTTTTATTGATCTATTATTTTTATTTATTCCTATGCTATGCATATGATGTTTATCTAATAAAGATCCTTTTCTCTTATGAACAAGTCAAGTCCATTGACTTTGATATAAAGTTGTTCCCATTTCTGAGTTATTTTTTCTGTTATACTTTCACTTATTTTTCCTAGTTCACTATTTTTTCTCACTACTCTATGACTGTTTCCATGGAAAACCTTTGGACAAACTACGGTCCTTGGTTCCACCAGTTTCACAACTAAGACTTAACATGCCATGTAGACTGTAGTGAACAATCCTTTATATTCCATAAGTGAGAATATGTTCCACTTGAACACATTCTTCCCACAAGCCACTATTTTGTGAAATTGACTCCCAGGAAGATATTTTCCTGGCTGCTACAATCCGATCTTGTTGATGTCTATGGTTGACCATTCTTTCCCACATATTCTCATAAACTGTATCTCTTACTCTTTCTGCTCACACAACAAACTCCTTCAGTAACTGTTATAACCTAGGGAAGGTTACCAAATAGAATAATCACATGAAGGTTGGTAATGAATGATAATACTTAGGACAAGAACAACACACATAAGATTTGCCAGCGGCATGTAGAAGAAGTAGTCAACTGCTAGAAGTGAGTCAAGTGAATTCCACAATGAATCTCCAACTGCAGACCAACATACAGTATTTACTATTGTATTTATGTGAGTGAGGACATATCCATTATCATCTGTAGGTATGCTACAACAGTAATCCTTTACCTTGAGTGGCTCTGGGGCTTTTTATATATCTATAAAATGGCAAGGACAGCCATAGCATCTCAAGATACATTCTTTGTTTACAGTGT